CCAGAAGCCAGCGGGTTGGCGCTTCCTCCGTCCTAAGCGTTGGGAAGGGGAAGTTGCGGCGCACGTCCGGAGAGCTGCGGAACTCATACTGGGAAGCCGTGAACATCTCGCCATCTGATCGAGAGGAGGCACAACAACGGTTTTGAAAATTGCAGGACCACACATTGGCCACTCGGTGTTCATATTTGGATGCATTTTGCATCTAAAAACCAGGCCGCGTACCTGCAAGGAGGCCCGTGTAGCCCTTGGCGGGGTCATACGGACACCTGTCTCTGCCGTCCTCGAAGCTCGCCGGCAAGCCGAAGCGTTCGGAATCCTCGCGGGGGAGAAGACAAGAGACGTTGCCCGTCAGCGTCCCAGTACTTTTTTTTAACGGAACTCGGCGTAGTCGCGGCTGCACTTACGACGAACGCGCAGAGAGGCCTGAAGGCGTTGGTGCCGCACGCGTACAGGTGAGTCTCGTTGTAGCGTTGCAGGAAGCGGATGTGATTGAAACACTCGGTCTGCTCACACGCGCACACAAACAAAAGCACACGACGTCAACGTTGGAGAAGTCATCCAGTAGCGAGGCGAGTCGGAGTACGCGGGGTGCACCTCAGGCACTGCTTCTTCTGCTCGGGGGACGCGTCCCAGTCAATCTGGCAACAGTCAGAGAATGAACGACGGTCCACACACCCGATATAAAAACCGCCTTGGTGTTCGGAGTTGGAGTTGGCCAACATTCGAATAATAAATAAAAATATATATAGTATTAGGGCGGCCCAGTGGTCCAGTGGTTAGCGCGTCGACCTCACAGTGCAGAGGTACCGGGTTCAATTCCAGCGCTGGCCAGTGTGGGTTTTCTCCGGGTACTCCGGTTTCCTCCCACATTCCAAAAACAAGCATGGCAGGCACTCTAAATTGTCCGGAGGTGCGAGTGTGAGCGCGGATGGTTGGTTATTCGTCTCTGTGTGCCCTGTGATTGGCTGGCAACCGGTTCAGGGTGTCCCCCGCCTACTACCCGAAGACGGCTGGGATAGGCTCCAGCACCCCCCGCGACTCTTGTCAGGATAAGCGGATCAGAAAATGGATGGATGGATATCTAGCATTTGATATTTCAGCGACAAAAAGCCGCCGCTCGTTCTGCTTCAACCGTGCCGCATTTCATCCCCGCAGCCGTAAAATCAAAACGGACACAATTGGATTTGCTCAATCTGCTTGAGGCTAAAATTAGTCTGTCCTCCTTTAGGATGCAAAGTTGGGAAGAAAAAAAGTGAGCGTGGATGTGCGGGCGGTGGGGGAGGGGAGGAAATCGTGTGTGTTCAGTTTGGTACTCACTGGGGGACGAGCGGGTGTGGCGATGTCAGACGCGTTGAGCGCGTAGAGCGCTCCTCTCCCCCCCACGTACAGAATCCCCGCCGGCTCCTCCAGCAGGAGGGTGCTGCAGTTGCGCGCCGAGCCGCCGAAGCGAGCGCTGCCCAGCAGGCCTGCAAACATCCAGAGGGGAGTTGGGGGGGGGGGGTCTTACTGTCGTTGTGGTATAATTGGATTGTAGCCTGTTTAGGCCCTAAGTGAAATCCATTCCGCCTCTGTTGTTTCAGAGGCAAAAATAAACAACGGCGTTTGAACGCCAAAGCGACGCTTGAAACCTTATTTCAATCCCTGACCTTGTCTTGAAGTTCCGGTTTGAGGACCTAATTCGGAACCCGAACTCTTTATTATCCATTTGATGACATCACACAAATTTGAAACCGCGATGGGAAACCGTAACCCAGGTTTGAAACCCTAATTTAAAAGTTTTGGTTCAGGCTCGTTTTTTTGCGTTCCGTGTTTCTGGTGATCAATTGGGCTGATGCTTTCGTGTCTTTTATTTTGGAAGCACGACCTACTAACAAAATATGATCACACACTAACAACGAAGAGGGCAAAGCTGCAAGCGCTGATGCGACTTGGCAGTATTGGGGCAGCCGTCCTACTCAATGCCCTAAAATGTCGCCTGAGCCATCTTGCCCCCATTTTCAACGGCCTGACCCCCCCCCCCCGCCCCGCAAGTCACAATAACAACACCCCAAGCACCTTCGCGAAGCTACAAGACGACAAAACAAACTTGCTAAAAAAATAAATAAATAAATATCTCCGTGATTGACCGAGAGGGATGACGACTTGGTTGCTTAATGGAGGTGAGTCACATGACCACACGGAGTCTTCGGCGAGGTCCGCCCCGCTGTCACAACCGCTCGTCCGTCACGTCCCTTCCAACCTCATGATATCAATCACGTTGTGCACAAGGCAAAAAAAAAAATTTTTCTCGATTTCACGATTTTTAAAACAGTTCGCAGATGTTTGCATCACACGCCTGTGGTATGCTGACAAAAAAAAAAAAAAAAAAAAAGCCAAAGGTCAAAAAAAATTCTAGACATATTTTGAAGCATTTTATCGCCATGGTGAAAGCTCAAGCTAACGTTATGTAAAAGTGTTTAGTGTTAGTTTTAATATAGGGCGTATTTGCACATTTTTAAGTCAACTACAATTCTTTTAACAACTGACCTTCTTTCTGTTGATGTATAGCAATATAGAAATAAATAATTAAATAAAATAATTAAATAAAATAATTAAAATCGTCCGCAAAAATGTCCTCGCCTGATTGACAAGGACCGAAACAAACATTTTCAGAAATAAGCAAAAAGCTCAAAATTCACTTTGTTGATTCATTTCACACCTGCTGACTCATTCAACCTGACCTGCTGACATTAAAAAACTCCCTTTCCATCATGCATCCCTTAAAAGTCCAAAAGCAGGGCGAAGAAACCCTCTTCCGATGCAAAAGCTGACGAGAAGCCCGCAACAAGACGCACGGCGTCCCGAACGCTGCGGGCGGGAGAGGAAACGCTGTGCGCGAGCGAAGCGACGTCACTCTCCCCGCGGCTATGTTGACACACAGTTATGCAAACGCGGCAGCAGCGGCTCAAGGCAGCGCGCGTGAGTCATGCCGGAGCGTGGATCTGGTATCAAAAAGAAAAAAAAAAAAGTCATGAAATAAGGACGAAGTGATGCAACAATCCTGACAGTGGAGAGCATCCCCGAGGCCCTCGCCGAGGCAGGATGGCGACCTCCGTCGTGTTTACGCAGGATTTGGATGCATAATAACGAAAAGTTACTCCGACGAGAAGCCGCACCAAACTTTTGTGTGTTTTTATGTCGCCCGCGTGACAGTCTGACAGTTGAGCCGTCACAGGTGGCGGCTTCGCCGCGTGCTCGGGCAACGAGCTAGCCGCCATGTGGGGTCTGGATGATACTAAAGCCCGCGCGCGAGTGCGTGCGTGACTTCCTGCGTGACTCGCGGCCAGTCATTTGACTGGCAAGAGAGCGTGCGGCACACAAGAAGCGACGGTGGGGACAAACGCCGCGAGCGGAGCCTGACTGACTCTCTTTCCGGGACGATTGTCACTCATTTTTATCCAGTGGATGATGTAAGGGAAGAAGACGCTCTTTATGTAACACTTAAGTCAACACAGGCTGTCCTGCGATGTATTCAACGCGCTCTCTCATTTCTTATCTTTCGTATTTTAGCTCGGCGACAGCGGCTCTCGCCATTTCCACGCAGTTTGTAAGAGCGTGGATGCCTCCCAGCAAACGTGAAATTTGGCAGGCGGCCATGTTGGTTTGGAGTGACTATTTTAGGGTCACGTTGATCATGTCAGGGGTCATTTCATTTCTTTTTTGTAAATGAAGCCCCTGAAGCTAGTTCCACGAAGCAACATCAAATTTGGAAGGAATATTTATTATGATGAGGCCCACAAAAAATATCGAGAAGCACAGGAAGTCGACCATTTTGCTTTAAAATGGCACTTCCATTAATCCACCGAAAATCTTTTCAGCCTGGTCTGGCGACTCATCAATATTTCACCCGCGCATTACTTCAGGTCTGCTAGCAGAGGCGAGAAGCAGGTCAGGTTTGTGCTTGATGACCTCGGCGAGGTGACGGGGAGGCCATTGTTGGGGAAATCGCCACGTACGCGTTTAATTTTCGACTTGCTATGAATTACGGAAGCGCACAAGCGACCGTATCAACGTCTAAAGTTGCTGCCTCCCGACCGTACCATCCTACAAACAATTTTCCGTATCGTATCATACATTATGGATACAACTGGATCAAATATTGATATCAGGGCTGTCTGCTTCATACAAATGTCATTTTCTTTGACATGTTGACACAAACACACATTTTTTTTTAATCGGGAATTATTGCATTTCTTCAATTCATTTTTTTTTTCCCCCACATAGATATCGTGGCGTATCGCTGACACTATCGGTATCGATTCAAATGATTGATGTTGCGCATGCCTAAAAAAAGGATCAAGTATTAATGTTACACTTTCCTAAAACGAAGACAAACTATTGACATGGCACTTTGCTCATTGCAACATTGTAGCTCTCCCACGATGCCGTGACATCATGTGAGGTTTCGTCCCTCCCGTAATCCCAAAGTGGCTGCGCTTTCTCAATCGGCGCTCCTAACAATCACCCGGACAAGCTATAAAGCCTGGACAGCCATTTCTTGGCGGCTTAAGGGCGGTCATTTTAAAGGATGGAAGATCTGGATGTTTGCCAAAGTCATCATCCACGAAGGCTAGTTCATCGGCGTTCATTTTTTTTTTTTTTTTTACTACACTGGACAAATTTTCATCGCGGCTTACACAAGCCGGACGAGTTTGCCGCTCCCGTGACGAATGCGGCGGCGTGTCCTTGCGCTCCCACTCAAGCAGGCCATCTGTCAAACATACTGTCTGTCTAATTCAGGCAGCGTGACACGTCCGCCCACGCTGATGACCGCACAAATGAAGATGCGCATTAGAAATGTTTTCAGCGTGCGCGCCGAGTGACATGTGTCACCATCGGCGGAGCGAGGGGGGGTTGGAACATATCGTGCGCATGGGACCAAGCGCACCCCCGCAGCACAAAAACAAAGCGCGCTCCCGTAGAAAGTGGGTCAAGGACGAACTCTTAAAGTCGGCGGTGAGAGAGAAACGCGAAAATCTGATGAAACGTTTTTTTGGGGGGGACAGCTCAACAGCGGCGGTTTAAGCTTTTCAATTTCGATTAGAGTCGCGGTCGCCGTGACGCCGTCGTCCGTCAGCCGTTCGCGGTAGCCGTCGGCGTAACGAAAGCAACGCGCGGCCTGATGAAACCTCGTGATGTGATGCAAAACTTTGAAATCGGGCTTGTTTTGGTTGTTGTCAGAAGAGAAATGCTGTAGTTACGTTGCACAAAAAAAAAAAAAAAAGACAAAAAATATTAAAAGAAACCGTTTTAATAAGTGTTATTCAATACGTAACATCTTTAATCTTTTCTTTTTAGTAAAGCTCAACTTTTTTTTCTCAAGCAAAGTACAACAGAGATACAGTATTTGTCTTCTTTTCCGGAAAGTCAAAATCAAGTTTGTCTTCTTTTTAGGGTGAGCGCACCATCAATATCTTATATTCATTTTAAGAAAGTACAACATCAATAGTTTGTCTTCTTTTTCGGAAACTAAAACATCAAGAGTTTATATTTTTTTTTTAGGAAAGTGAAACATCCCTAATTTGTCTTCATTTTAGGCATTCACAACACCAATAGTTTGTTTTCTTTTTGGGAAGTGTCACATCAATATTCTCTCTTTTTCGGAAAGCCCAACATCAATAGTGTGTCAAATTTTTTGTGGAGGGGTTTTAGAACGCTCCCTCACTATTCTCGTGGCTCCGAATGTGAGGCGGCGATGGCTCTGGATGCCGCCCTGCTTGTTCTTGCCCTTCTCTAATAATACTCGTCCCCAGAGGATCACACCAGGGAGGGATGATGGGAAGGGGGGGAGGGCGTCGGAGTTTCCCTTCCTCACTGCAGCTCTGCCGCAGTGGTAAGGGAGGGAAAAAGGTGAGTGGGGGGGGGCG